ACATGTAAGGTATAGGATCACTTGCAGGCTTCATTCACAAACTAATGCTGTAGTTTACAGATAGTACTGTAGCTTGACTATCAGCCACACACAGTGTCAGCTGTTAGCTGCCAACAGGACAACATAGATTATCATCCCATTAGCAAAGGGGCATTGTGCAGGTTAACATGTTAATCTATAGCTTGTGTATGGAAAGGCATTAACTTGTCACTTACCTAAATGCCATTTAAAACTAACTGCCCATCTATAACTATCCTGTCCACAGAGTGACAACACCGTTGTACGAGTTTACTGTAAAATGAACAGCCCTGTCACCCTGTTAAACGTAGTGGAAAAATAGGTAAGATTCCAAAAATAAACAGGAGATGGTACTCTGTAACAATGTAAAAATCTCTAGTATTGTTTCATATGTTTACCAGGATAGAGATGAATTCCTAGGATCATGAAGGTGATCATAGATGATCCAAAAAACATGAACTGTTAATGCCAGTGACAGACTGCATCATATGTGCTACTTTAAAGGGCGCAAGTTATGGGGAGTAGTCTCTCCAATTCCAGAACTTATTCAGCTTCAGCAGCCTGGCATTAGTAGGCAGTCAGAGAACAGAGGCTCCTGAGGGGCATTTCACATCATGACTGCCACACTAACCTTTATGTGCAGCCTTCAGATCCATCCGCCTGTGCTTCCATCCTTACCCACTAGGGTTCAGGCCCCAGAGAAGTCATTGGGAATGACTTCAAAGCGTTATAAAGATAAAAGGTGCAGACTGATGGTCGGGAAAACCAATCTCTAGAAGCACATAAATCAGATGCCACTTGCTCCATGGAACGCAACGTGACTAGCTGTGAAGTACAACCTGTCAACTTTTTTCACCGTCCTCCAATTCTGACAAATTGCCACAGCATTCCAGTCTTCACTACTTTTGTCATCTGTGATCTAAAATGGTTTCTGTGGTGTTGGACAAGTTTTCCCAAATTACAAGGCCAAGCAAGAGTGTTTCACTGTGACAGACTGAGCTGGTGGGTGGAACTGAGAACACAAGTGATGTCAAGACAGAGTCTATGTGAAGTGATTCAACTTGCCTGTAGCCCACGATAATTAAAATGATCAATTGTGGACATCCATCAAGTCAATTTCCTGCAGTTCTAACCGTGTTGCTTGCATCTGGAATGAGAAAGTGTTACAGTAACTGTCCTTGAAAATATCTCCTTTCTGTGAAAACTGACACTATTGAGTCCTGACAACTGCCATTAGTCTGGCCAGCGGGAGTACCTCCTTTTCATGGACATCTAATTGTATAGAGGATTGGCAGATGATGAGGCTTAGTTTTGAAAGGATAAGGTTCACCTTTCTAAAAAAAATAATAAATACACATTTTTTTGGCAGATAAAGCATTGCACTCGCAATCAGCAGATCACAGGTGCAATCTCAGGCTCCTGCAGACTCTATGTATCTGTTTGCCGGTACCTTCAATACAGGCAGGCGGTTGCTTAAGTCCAGGAAGAATCAATGAACTACTGGCATGCTCACCAATGCCTTTGCAATTCATTGAGAACTACAAGCCACAAAGGCTTGCATGGGCAGGCACTTAAACAATGACAGGAAGACTCAATGAACTACCTAGAGCGCTCACTAATACCCTGGTAGTTCGCTGAGAACTACAAGCCGTCAGGCACAAAAGCTGTCGGTTCTTGTAGTTCATTCACAGATCTCTGTGAATGAATGATATGGCTGTGTCGGCAGAGCCCTGCACGTCCACGCTCTTTTCAAATTTATTTCAGGTACTTATATTTATTTCAGGTACTTAAATTGTGACAGCGGGTGCGGGAAGAAGACCCCCCCAGCCCACTGTCACAATGCGGGGGTGGGGGGTTGGTGAGAGGCTGCTGGAGTGGGAACATGTTACATGTTCCACCTTAAAAACGCGTGGAACATGTAATATGAACTTAAGTCACCCCCAGTAACAAAGTGAAACTCATTGCAGAGGGTGCACAAATATTACATGATCAATCGTTTGGATATACTTCTAGAACTTTTATATATTGTTTTATAACAACCCTGAAGTTAGATTGGTGTTCATGATAGAAAGATGACACTGAGGGGGATATTTACTAAAAGTGGAGACTGCAAGAACTAGTGAAACTCTGCATATTAACCAATCCGCTTCCAGGTTTTATTGCCAAAGCTTACTTGAACAAGCTGAAGTTAGAAGCTGATTGGCTACCATGCACAGCTGCACCAGATTATGAGTGCACCAGTTTTAGTAAATCTCGCCCTGAGGGCAAAAGTAAGTGGGCATTATGTTAAAAAAAATTAACGATATATCACTAAGTAAAGATATTATTATTATGGGCATTTAGATGTTTTAAACTGAAATGCCGTAATATTATTACAGGTAGGCATTTATATAACACTGACACTTTACATTCACACCAGTCCTTGCCTTCAAGGGACATACAATTTAAGATCCTGACCTCACATACATATTGAGGATAATTACCCTATAGACATGGCTTTGAAGTATTCCAAGGAAACTTGTGCAAGCTCAGGGAGACTATGCAAACTCCATGTGTTCTTGCCGGGCTTCAAATTAAGGACTCCAGTGCTGCAAGGCAGAAGCACTAACCACTAAGTCATTGTGCTGACCATAATATTCTAATGTGGATATTTTTATTAAATGGATAGTAGTGTCCCTTTAAAGGTCATAGCATAATGTCTGTTTATAAAAAATTGGAGGAATGTTTGAAACTATGCTGCTGACAAAAAGAAGTTTATCTGTAATAACTTATCAGAAAGGAAACAAGATAATACTTTGGCCAAACAGAAAACATCCCATGAAACCTAAAAGTTGGCAGCAGACCATATCTAAAATATTTTATTTGTATTTCGGACAAGCAGAGGCAGAATCTCCGTTTACAAAATCATAAAACGGATCCAGATCCTAAATCCTGAGATGTAGACATAAAGGACCAGACATAATAAGGATTTGTGTTCATCTCCGGCCGTTTGTCCTGCAGACGTTTCTTAGTGTTTGATCTCATTCTAGATTAGATACTTACATTTCCTGTAAGATATATCAAAGTCATTTATTAGACACAACATGTCCTAAGAATTATGGCTGTTGGCTATGCCATGTAAACTCTTCACAACATGTTCAAGAATGCTGAATGTAATAAAGGATAAGTTCACCCTTCGGAACATGTTCCATATTCCACCCGTATATAGGATGGAACATGTAACATGTTCCCAATACTGCAGCCACTGCTCACACGTCATTTATTCGGAGTGTTTTTGAATGAACTACAAGTCCCGACAGCCTTAGCAGCTGTTGGCTTGTAGTTCTCAATGAACTATCGCTATCACAGTGCTGTGGTAGTTCATTGAATCTTCCTGTCAGTATATTTGCTTGCCTGTACATCATGACATTCAAGCAGATATACGGACAGGTCTGCAGGAGACCTGCATGGCACCAGAGATCTGCTTGTGCAGTGTTTTACAGGCTCCTGCACCCAAAAAATAATAAGTGCACTTTTTTTTAACCTGCAAAAATCATGCATTTATTACTTTTGGTCAAAAGGTGAACTTATCCTTTAACCACTTCCTGTCCGGCCCATGTACATAAATGGCTGGACAGGAGCGGGTTGCCGTTCATAAACAGTGCCTGCGTTTACAAGCTGTGCGCGCTTCCTGGGAGCGTGCAGCACCACGATCCGATGCCCTCTGTCCGATCGTCGTACTGTGTGAGGTCCCGATCATGTGATCACTTACTGCTAGTGAAATCTGTGAATGATCACAGAGGTCACATGGTACAAAGCTATTCACAACAGCCTTGTACCATGTGTCAAGCTGTAACCAATCATAGCTCTCACAGTATTTCTCAATGGCTGCAAGAATGCAACCAGAGAGAAGGAGAAATTATTGCTTTTACAGCCTTTATGGGTGTAAAAGCAATCAGTGTAAAAAAAAATCTTCATCACCCCCCACAAGTAGTACAGTGGTGACACTACTGCTAGGGTGACAGTATGTTTAAAAAAACATAAATAATATAAAAATATAAAATAAAAATGAACAAATTTTTTTTCAAAAATTATAATTTTTGGTTATAAACTGGTTTGGGTTATTTTTTTTTACTAAAAAGATAACGGAATACATTTTGGCCAAGATTTATGAAGAAAAATTATTTATTTGCAAAATGTTATAAGAAAAACACTTTTTTAAAAAAATGTTGGACTTTTTCATTTATATAAGATAAAAAAAAATCCCAGTGGTGAATAAATACCACCAAAATAAAGTTTTATCTGTCTCAAAAAAATGCTAAAAAAATTCATATGTGTACAGTGTTGCCTGACTGCGCAATTGTCATTCAAAGTGTGATAGCGCTGAAAGCTGAAAATTGGATTGGACAGGAAGGGGGTGAAAGTGTCCGGACTTGAAGTGGTTAAAGAGTCATCTCCAATAACTTGTAATATGTAGTAAATCAGAGAACCTCTAATTGCATTCAGCAGGTACTGTTAACCCAGCTAAGTAGTGCAATTTACCTTTTAAAGAAGAACTCTGGATCTAGCTAAAGGCACTTTACATATGTCCATATCCAGGCTGTAAACGTAATATTTTACTAAAAACAACTGTCAGTCACCACAAATGAGAGGAAAGATCTCCATGCACGCTAGCATTTTTTTAAAGCTAATAAAAGCTTGGAAAAAATGCTGGATAAAAAAAACGCTGGTAAAAGCATTTTTAATAGTGTTTTAGTAGCGTTCAGAAGCATTTAGGACCATTAGCAGTTTTACAGTACTTTTTCTGTTGGAAAAACCCTCCAAAAAAGCAGAAAGGATATGCTGATAATAGCTTCTAGGAGCTTAACAAAATGCTAGTGTGCATGGAGCCTTAAAGTGAGTCTATAGTCAAAATGTAAAACTACTGTATATATTAATGTCTACATTAAAATTCACCTTTTTCTATCTTGTTCCTATTAATCTGAAAAATCTTGCTTTGTCACACATTTCACAGAGCCTGCGTCCCAGGGTGGACTGACAACTCATGGGGCCCCCGGGCAATAGGGGATCATGGGGCCCCTGTGTCCTTGCCCAAACTCAAAAAAGCCTATGAAAAAGGTACCAGGGGCATCTCATGGGGCCCCCTACGGACCCCGGGCCTTCGGGCAGTGCCCGAGTTTCCAAATGGTCAGTCCGCCCCTGCTGCCTCCTGAACTACAGAGGTGCTGAGAGGAGAGATTCAGGAGTCGGAGTCAGTACAGGAATAACTGCTTGCATGCAGCAAGGTACCATGCGATATATAGTCCTTAGAAATGGAAAGTAAATAGCACAGGAAAAGCTGCAAAGTATGCAGGGATACAGGAATACAAAGTTGTATTGGATTGTCGGAAATAACTATTGTTTGTGTTGTTATTACAATACTGATTTTCTAAAATGGTGAGCATGCTATGACCATAGAACTTGTTTAATGCCCTATGGCATCCTCAGCATGCCTACAAAATAGATATTTTCTGTTAGTGCCATATGAACATCACCAGCTAGTAGCTGAAGCACAAGCAGACCTCATTCATACTGGTGGGGATTCAGGGATGCAGAGTTTCATGTTTATTATATCAGCAATGATGTGCAGTGAGGGAATAGCTGTACAGGGGGGCTGAGGGAGGGTTAGGGGTTAATGCCTTTCTCGGTTCTTTAGTTTTCGGCGGGTTATCTTTAAGTCCGACCCACTGAACCTGTGATATAAAAGATGGACAGTGGTTTGGAAGAGAGATTCCCTGAGGAGAGCTGAGAGTCCAGAGCCCATAAGAAAGAACCCCATAAGTAAGAGGACCAAAGAGTAGCACTGGGGAGAAGTACAAGCATGTCGCAGTCTGCCACCAAGTGAATTGCCAGAACTTGGGGTTCTCCCCAAAGACACCAGCTGATAGGGAATGCCCCTGATGGACTCTGTAATTGCATGGACTCCCCCTTTGCAGGTATGCCAGGACAGCACATAGCCTGAAAAGGATTGGGGATTTAGGAAAAGACTGTGTCATGTCGGACTCTGTACTGTTTACACTTTATTCATTTAAGCTTTGAAACTTTGCCTTTTGCCTGGTCTGAAGTTCCTCAAAATGGCATAATTCAAGTAACCGACACAACTCTACACTTAGTCTACAGCTTGTGTCACTAGCACATAGGGTATGAAGTCCGCTACAAATACTGTAGCTGCTGACTTTTAAAATCAGACATTTACCTGTCCTTCGCTCCACCAATGTCCTCACCACAGCTGGTTTCACCATCCCTCATCTCTCCCCGGCGCTGGCAACTTCAGTGTGGACACCCGGCTGTGACAGCTTGCCAGGTGCCCACTGCACATGCACAAGTAGCACTGCGCTTTGTGAAAGGTCCCGTAGTCTTCTGGGACCTGTCATGTATCCCAGAAGACTACAAAGAGAGAGGGAGGGGGGACAACTTCCGTTTCCGATCACCTTAGGTGATTGCACCGGAAGTGGGAACCTATCAAATTTGGGTACCCGCTCCCCAAAGGTGCCAATTCTTAATGGGGAGCAGGGGACAAAGCCTTAAAGCAGAACTTCCCCTTTTGGATGGAGCTCCACTTTAATACAATAACAATATTAAAATACAGTATATGGACTTCAATACAGTGTGATTCACTGACATGAAGTGATGATAAAGACCAGCAATTCTACCTTTTCTCCTACCTTTAGTTGCAGCATATTAGCTCAAGGTCAATAATTTAAAGTGCTGAAACTGGACATAGCCAGGCATCTAGCATCCTCAACATGAAGCCAGCAATGGCAGCCTCCATATTTCTCTCCTGACAGTTGCACTGTAAGCAATCATTTTTGACACTCTCCTCAGATGGTAATTCATCTCTGAGTACCTTTATCATCTTTCTTTATGAATTATTGTTGATAGTTTTCTGGTTTTTGTCTTATTGTTTATTTATTTTGTATTTTCATGTGTAACCAGCAGATTGCGATAATGGCTCTTTTATACATTGTTCAGCCTCTCCTTAGCTCTTTGAAGAAAAATCTGTTGTTCATTTCACCTATCTCAATAATACTCCCTGTACCAAAGGTTTATTGTAGTAAAAAACATATAAAATATCTATAAAAAAATATAAACTTAAAAAAAAATTAATTGACTCAATTCCATGATCGTTTCTCCTTATAAAAAAATTATTTTCCCTAAATTCCTATGATTAGTAGCATGTTCTGGATTATCTATCTAAAAGCCAAATATGCAGTAAGTTTGGAGTTTACATTATACCTTTTATTGGCAAATTTTAAGTCCAACTCCGGGAAATTTAAAATTAGCCCTTGCAGTGGAGCTATGCTTGCACTGCAAGGATTATTTGCTCATTTAGGTCTAGGGGATACATAAAATAAGATCTACTTATCTAATTCTCCGTGCTGCTAGGACGGTCCCTGCAGTGCCTTCTCCCCTACGCTCCTATGGTCCTGCAATGGACATGATGACGCAGAGGGACATGTAAGGGTCCCCCACTGGAGAGAAGTTTCCGCCATGTTGACTCCAGACCCACTCCACTTCTTCTTGGATGGGATAGTCACCTATCTGTCTAGGAAAAACTGTGCCATATTGTGTCAACCCTTTCTACTAGCCTGAGGCCTGATTCTTCCACATTCTCATCCACAGACCTGTCACCCAGAATAAAAGAATGTCCAATTGCACTTTAGGCTTTACTGCAAAACCATTCAGATATTTTTTTCGTTCAGTGACATTTCTTCTTCATAACACGCTGTCATTATTACAAGCTCCTAACAGTAGTCTCTAATGCAGAACCCCATACCTCCATTATATGACTCCTTGTCAGTTGTCTCTTTAGTGCAGAATAGCCACAGAACCAGTACGGCCATCTGAAAAGATGTAAACAGACTCTTCCTACAGGTAATTTACACTTATGGTTTCTGCTTTTAGGCTCCCAGACCTTCCTGATCCAAGCAACAGGACCTGCTAGAGAAAGGTCAGGGGTAGCAAGGTTTCTCTATCTTCCCGTGTGTCCTCCTCTGTTCACCCTGGTGGTTTTAGCCCTGCAGGGCAGGGGGCTATTACTCTCTGCTCCCCAGAACAGCACTACATCTTGCTGATATGGGGTGTCCTGCTCCCATACCCCAATTCTGCTGGATCCTACCCACAGCTGGCATATAAAGGGGCACTAACTTCACCCATTACAGCACTACAGGAAGGGTTTCAAATAAAGGGGCACTAACACCTGCATATACTCCCCCCTCTTTAAAGATGGCATGTCCCTGTGCTAGTGATTTTCCATATAGGGAAGGTGGCTTGCAAAAACCCAACAGATAAACAGCAGTAAATCATAACTTTTCTAGAAAAGCAGTGAACATAACTCTAGGTCTAACAATACATAATGCCTAGCACAGTTCTTAAAGTGGTTGTAAAGGCAGAACATTTTTTTACCTTAATGCTTTACCTGCATTAAGGTAAAAAAATGTTCCAGTATCTGTATTGAGTCCTATCTTGATCCAGAGCTGTGTCCTTCTTCAGCCATGCAGCTCTCTCTCCTCACAGGACAGAGAGGTAGCAGTGGCAGCCATTGGATCCTGCTGCTGTCAATCAAATTCTGTGAACATAGAGTGAGGGGTGGGGCCAAATTTCGCTGTGTGTGCCTATAAACACACACAACCTGGCTCGAGAGTGAGACCACTGATGTGCCCCCTCCCCCCCAGAGCAGTTTCCTGTGGTGGCACACTGAGAAGAGGAGGAACCTGGAGTGCCAGCGTGGGTCCCCGGAAGGGGAGGTTTGGGGCTGCTCTGTGCAATATCATGGGGTTACCTGCACTGCGTCCTCAGCCCAAGTTATGCACCTTTCACAGGGATCTCCTCTGTTGGGGTGCACCTCATAGGGGAAAGCCAGCATGCAAGCTGGCAAATAAAGGGGCACTAACTCCACCCACTATATCACCATAGGAGGGACTACTGTCGGCATTCTGATCCCTTAGGCAATCTTGCCTTGTTACCTTTTTTGCGGTGAACCTCAAACTCCTTGCTCCTCCCATGAATTTCCTATTTAGACCAAGCATATGCACTTCCTGTTTAACAGATTATTGTGCTCTCCTCCAGCCAAAATCCTGCTCTTTTCTGCTGCTGTTTATATCTCCACTACCACTCATTATTAACCTTGACTTGTTTGTCGACAATACTCAATCTCAACCTGCAACCATTCCTTACCGATTCTAGCTTGTTCCGCAACTACACTTCCACTGGTTTCCAACCTACAACCTCTTGTTACTGACCTTTGGATGGTTACCTTTGGATGGTTACTGACTACACTTCTGCTTGATCCCTATATGCTACATCTGCTACTGGACTCTGGTTTGCTCACCTCCTGGTGGGGCGATCCTGAGGACTGCGGCCTGGTAATAGCAGGCAGCAAAACGCATCTTCACCATCAGGAGCTCTACTGAAGACTGGTTAGTGTTTAGACCTCGCACCTTGGGCGAGCCCGTACCATCTGCATGAGTGACCTGTTCTACCCATGTACTCATCCAGCTGGTCGGTGGGAGCCTCTCTACTGCTATGACTACTGGTCTCCAAGCCTGACCCCTGACCTTGACACACGCCCAGTTTTTTTTCATTCATTCCAAAAAATGGACAGGTCTCCTTATCCACACAAGTGGTGTAGATGCAGGGATCTCCCCCACTGTACTACTGTATTTTGACAGAGGGGACTCCTCCCATCGGAATTCACTGATTAGAGCTGCAGCCATTGGCAGGAACATTCCATAGAATTTGGTCTAATGACCGGCTTTTGAATGGACAGGGTACACATGGACCAAAATTCATCCAGTTCTTGCTGCACCAGCTGAATTTCAATACATGTGTACCCGGCTTTAGAATTCCTTATCTCTATACTTCTTCCTGGTCAGTGACTCAGAATGTGTTCCAGCCAAAGCATCAGCATGGCATCCAGGAAACTGGAATTCTCAAAAGGAGAAATCAGCAATGGCATCCTACGTATTTGTCTTGACAGATATCCTTCAATGATCATATTACCAATACACTAGGCTCACATATCATCTAAATGTATTACCAGGAATCTAACAGTAGAGGACAGCATAGGGAAAGAAATGAAATTCATCTTTACTTTTGTAGCAGAAAGTTTGGCATTAAAAGGATTATCTCACTGGAATAAAAGCTTCAAAAATGGTTTCCAT